TATAGATGCACTGTTTCTAGATACAATATATATATATATATATATATATATATACATAATCTTGTTCAGCGCTCCACATACACAAGCCACCCCCCCCTCCTTCAAGGATACAAAAAACCGTGCGCCATGCCTCGTGGTAATCTGTCCCGGGGGACCGGAAAACAAGAAGCGGCTCTTTACTACCCCCCGCCCCCCCTTCCCGCTTCCCCTCCAAATGCCCTCATCAAAAAAAAAAAGGAGCAGCGACGGGGGATAATCTGCGATATTTCTGTTCGTCGGGCCCAAGGTTCGGGAGTGGCCTAGTCAGACGGCAGTTCCCGCCATATAGTTAGTTATCACCATCACATCTGACAGGGCAAGGCTGTCCTCTTGCCCCCCCCTCCTCCCCCCTTTCCCAACCAGCCAGCCCCCGTCGCTCCCGTACCAGGTCCGCGGGATAAACGCCTCTCGAAAAAAAAAGTATTCGTCAAAAAAAAAATCCAATTTCTTCAATGCTAAACGAACCGAATGGTGGGTGGGGTGGGTTTCCCGTCGAAACTGGAACTACTTTTTATCTGGCTTGCCGAACACACTGCCGTTCAGCTCTCCGGTGGACTGGCTTCTAGATTTTTTTTCGGGTAATATCTATATCAAAGGGGGAATTATATCTCCGATTCGGATATGACCGCATTCCAAGATAAGCTCCTACCTTGCTTTTTATCGATGGCTTGTTACATCCGGTCCCCGCCATCTCCAAATTGTGAGATCAGTTGACTTTGCACGGCAGTTGCCAACGTCTGACAGCCCAAGGGGGGGGTTTCACCGAACTGGCTTGGCTTGCAAAAGGCAGAGAGTGTGTATGCAAGAATGCGCCATGGTAATCAAATCGGAAAAGCTGGTGGTAGAATGGAAGATGATGGGCTGTAAAGATGTGCATCACTATTGGCGAGTAAGATGAGGCACGATTGGTCTGAAAACAAGTCGAGCAAAGCTACGCGCATCGCGTGGCCTTCTGCGGCGCGCGGGTTCGGCTCTATTCGACTGTCAGCAAGGACGGCTTTGATCCCGACTTGTTCTGATTACGATCACGTCTCTGCAGCAAGACAGAAACGGAAGAAGCCGAGTTGTCACATCGTGCGCACACCCAACCACTTTGCAGCGTCGGAGTAATCAATCGTCAAGTCACGGGCATGTCCGAGTTTCCAGCACTTTGACCTATGCCTGCAATCTTGAGAACAAAGAGTGCAGCTCGTGATGATACCCCAGCCTCTTGATGTTGAACGCTCTTCCTCCCTCATCAGCAGTCTTTACCTTCCCATCCAGTCCGCCTTCCAAGTCACCGAAAGATGTTGTGTGTGAGCGTGCCGTTTGCCAGAGTGCTCTGCACGATCCCCTCTAGAGATTCATTTTGCGTCGAAGAATGTCGGAGCTGAAACAAAAACCGTATTGTTCGCCTGGCTGGATCTAACGGATGCGCTCGTGCCGTGTACGCAGCGAAGCGAGGGACACGGACGTGGGACGAGTGTCGAGTTGAAAGCAACGATGTCATTATCAAAGTATTGGTGTGTGAATGGTCATTATGGCATCATGCAAAAAGGAAAATGGCTCCGACTAGACAGGCGCAGAGGCGATAATAATAGCTACCACACGGTGCGCGGGCACCTTTTCCCCGAATGGCAGGAGCCGTTCGAAACTCTTTTTCGCTTGGCAATGTACGATGGCGTTGTCGATGGGTAGTCAAGAGAAGTCTCGGCGAATAAAGGGGCGATACAGTCCATCAGCCTTACTATCAAGGCAAAGTATACTCCAATTCCGGTATATCCAGTCATCAGCGGGTAGAATAGATGTATGTTTTGATATGTAAGAATAGCAAGTCAGACTCGGATGCGCGCTCATCTTGTGGCGAAACATGGACGAACCTCTACTCTTGACATAGCACGGTTTATTTCGTCTCTGCAGCGTATACATGCCGACTCTTACACGCGAGGCCTATAATCTTCATAAAATCTTGATACTCAAGTGCTATAACCAAGTGTCAGCATAACTTCAAATAGACAACGGCCATCGCAGCAGCAGCGTGGCGAGCGCAGGAGGCTTATCTAGCAGTGGTCACGCCCCGCCTCACCTCTGTCATCAAGCTTTTGAGCTTTGGATTTTGCCGTATTCGTCCGCGCAGCAACCTCTTTCTGTTCGCCTCATCTTGCTCTTAGAGCCCCGTTAAATGCGCAGACTGCAAGCGTTGCCTTTGTGCAGATGGAATGCCGCCGGCTTTTCTTTTACACCTTCACAAACCCCTCCATCATGGCGGTCAGAGGTCTGCCCTTTCACGAGTATTCATAACGCCCCATAGACCTGTTTCTCCTGGTTCTTCTTCTCGGGTTCCTGCTACGGATCCTCCGACGTTGGACCTGGACATAGTTTCGTCATCAAAGACAAACCCCCGTTCTCCCATGTCGCGGCTCATTCTCTGCCCAATAAAGTCGTTCCATCATGTGGACGACGCCATTTGGATGTAACGCCATGTAAATACACACACACATGCATACCGCCCCCGTCTTTGTGGTGCCATGTGGTCACCGCGTTCGTCCCCGGAAAGCACAACCTCATTCCGCGTTTACTTTTCCAACTGCGCGGAACCGGCTTCTTGGATCTGGATGCGCTCGCGGGGCTCGGGCCGCGTCATGCTGGTCGCGGATCCCTCTGCACTGCGCATCTCCTTTGGCCACCTCGCTGTCAGACGATGGTCGCACGAACGTTGCATCGTTCTGCCTCGATCGGAGCAAAGGTCCTGAGTGGGCTGGGCCCGAACTTTGATTCCGTAACCGCAGCCAGGCATAATCAAGCGAGAATCGTCCGGTATCTAGAGTACGCAGAGGTCCGAGACGGAATCTCGAGTCACCATCGACCCTTCCCACGGCTTCCGTACAAGATCAAAAAAATCGTACCCGCTTTCGTGGACATCTTCCGAAGTAGGTTGCCGTAACTATAAGCCGAGGTAGATGTCGTCTGGATTCTTTCAATATCGCGCGAACTACGTATACGTCCGTAAGTCTTCTTAAATTGCATGCGTCTTCACCACTGAACTTCAATCACGCCCAAATTGGAAATCATGGGTAGCGAATGTATACGTAGAGTGTCTCGCTCTTTTCTACCTTTTCCGCTCGGCAATTCACTGAGGCTCGCTATAGCGTGGCCATTGAAACATTGTTTTCCTTTTTTTTTTGTTTTTCTTTTTTTCCAGTTCTCTGTCTCGGCAGGTGTAATCTGTAGATTACGAAACATGGCACGATTTTTGCCGAAAAAGTAAAACATTTGGGAGTTTTGATTCCTCCCGAAATGATAGGTTTCACAGGGGTCAACACCACCCGGCGAGACAAGGCTGAAGAGATACACCGAGAAAAAGACGAGACATGGCACAACGGTTGACCGTACATCTTGTTGCGCGCCCCGGTGAGAAGTTGGGGGTCAAAAATCGGATATGCTTGTGGCAGATGCCGTTGTGAGAGATGAGCGGCTTGATCGTCCGCTGAGACCTAATTATTATTTTCTTCTTCATAAAAAGGAACTTGGCCGAATTGTCGCGATATGGCTGAGAGATTATTCTCTTACCTTTTTTTTTTTTTGACTGCCTGTGAATCCTGTGGCAGCATGTACTTTTTATATGGGACGGGGTAGAGAGGGTATAAACGTCGCACAAGATCTCCCAGGCGTACCATCAAGATCGGATATACAGGCCGTCCTCTCAGGCCCGTTGTACCGACTGTTTTGGTGCATACACTATTGCTCTTTGTTCAAAGTACGCGATGATGGTCGCACAAGCATCAGACAGTGCAAGAGAATAATTGTGCTACTCCATTGCTAAGTGACCTTGACTCTTGAGCTCGGTCTACTTCGGGCTACCAAATCTGGTCTGATTCATGATGCATCGTGGATGGCCAACAGCGAGGGGGTGTGTGTACATCGTGTCCTTCAATGTTTGTCCACTTGACCTGTTCTCATCTGTTTGACTCCTTTGCTGGCTAGTTTGACTCGTCGTGCCACCGGACAAGACTTCGTAGAGTCTTGCGTAGTATCAGATCGAAAGATATAAGCGCTTGTTTCATTGTGGTATAACTGTAGCATACCCTACAAGAAATTCGCTGTGCCGTTCGAGTCACGGCTTTCTCCGTCTGGTCCTACTTTCTTCCCACCGGAGACTGGAAAGTTCAGGCTCTTTGTTGGCATGTTGCGCTTACAATACCTGTGGCAATCATCCGACTTCGGTGTCGTAACAGTCGCCTGGCTTCAGCATCTGCTGCCACCCACGAAGACCCTGTACACAGCACAAACATCTCGAAGTATAGGGGTACCCTCAATCTTGCATTGAGGCATCAACTAGAACCCCGCAAAACAATGGGCAAATCTCTGTTGTGGCCCTACAACCCTCTGCTCGATGACATCTTTTGGTGCTTACACGATTCGTACAGTAGCGGGAAATACAGGAGCGCCAGCTCGACTGCCGGCAGGCAAGCCAAGACGTATCATGATCGTATTGCCTTTTGTCGGCTCTCGTAGGTCGTATGTTAAACTCAGATAGGCAAAAGGTTGTGGGCTGCATGCACACCCCTTGTACGATTAGCTTCTCCGGGGGGCATTCCATCAAGCAGAGGAACAAAAGCGCCCTGGCTGATTAGATGGTAAGCTTCGTGGACGGGCTAAATCGGCCAGGAGCTAGGATCCTTCAAGGCGCAACAGCCTCATCTCGTAGAAAAATGACCCAGCTGCTCTGACCCCCATGCTGCAGTGGGTTACGGGTACGTAACCCGTAACTAAGTTAGGCCCTGCGCTGGCGATGGAGTCAGGGAGAGAGGGGCGTGTAGCCTCGCTCTCTGCTCGAGAACCATAGAAAGTGGTGTGTCGACAATTGCCAATGTCATCAGGCATGGGCAATGAGCGGCAACGGGTCAGCATCCCAAACGGGCTTTGCAACTAACTTTTGACTAGCACCAGGGCTAACAAACCCGTGGGCGCGATTTGAGATTGCCAGAGACAACGCGAGCACACTCACAGCAGTGGGGGTGACAGGACATTACTGGCGATCTGCCCGAAAAAAATATGGCGGCCGCTGCCAAGATGTATTCATTGTGCTGTCATGCATGGGGCGCGCGAGAAATGCCGCAGTTTGTTTCGTAGATGAGCTACGACGAAATTGGCAGTTGATTGAGTTTTATGCCAACTGCCGACTTGCGTCTCTGTGCGCGCCATGCAACCCTCGACGGGGTCCTATCGGCGGAGTAATGGCCTGGTTGAAAAGAAAAGGCGGCGGCAAATGGTTGGATCAAACTCGGCTGTTAGATGTAGGTAGATTGCAATGCATGCCGTGATTCAACTCTTGCTGCCGCGCAGACAATATGCCCATCTCCTGTGGCCAGAAACCCATGCATGCCATCATCGGGGCGTAATCGATCTGCGCATCAGTGCTGACCACTCCATTCGTGCAAACCGGCATCCTTGCCAGCCCTGATAATCGCACAGATGCCACGCTGAAGGCAATCTGGCGGCCGTGAGCTGCTAGTCGAGTTTTGGCAAGCGGGAGCTCGAACAGTGCAACGTCGGGAGAAGGCCGAGGCTAACTCGGACGAGTAATGAGTGGCCTGCCAAGAGGACGGCACTGCCAGATCTGACGTACCTCGTGGTCGATCTAACGCCACCAAAAAAGGGTCCGGTCCGGGTTTGTCAAAGCCCTCTATGTCTCGCTGCGCGTGACCCGCGAGCCGAAAGGATTGGTGGAAAAGGTCATGCAGCCGCTGCCTAGGCTGCCGCGGATTTGGACTGGACGATGTCTGTCTGATCGATCGCGACGGAGCCAGCGTGGCTATAGCGGCACGAGCGGCAACATACCAGTGCAGAAAGCACTGCCGTGTGTTGAGCTGCGGCTTTGCGGTCCGCAGCAAGGTTCATTTGCAGTGTTCGGAGAAACCTTCGATCTAGGTTTGTGTTTCGAAATGACCAAAAGTTTATTCAACCTCTGTGTCTGCATTACAGCGCTTTAAGTTCTTGCCTGCGGTCGGATGAGTCTACCTGCAGCTCGGTTCGACAAATGTGTCGGAGGCCCCTGCAACTAAAGCGCCTCTGAAGTCGAAGGCTGTGGGCAGGCAGATTTTGTTGAGGGCAGAATTCTGCAGCATCTACCGATTAGAACATACCGACCCCAATTACACTCCGCAAATGGTCGTCAGCGGTTGCCAGTAGCGTACAGCACCACCGAGAATAGGCTATTTCTCCGACATTGCGCTGGTACGAAACGTGTTTTCTTCGGTCCTGTTACAGAGTATACCCGTCCGGACCGGTTCAATCTAAAAATCGCGTTGCATTTGCTGATTCAATACAGAATTCGTACTGTTCAAAGTTTCATGATTTTGCAAAACCCGATGGAGATGTACCCGTACACCTGACCCGGGCTGTCATGCGAGTCCTGTTGGAGTAATATGTGCGTCTGGTTATGGGAATCTATTTTCGCTCTGTAGGGGCAAATCCGTAGGGGAAATTTTACACCTCCGCGGCTGACGCTCGATGCACTCATGGTGGGAAGGCTTGCGTAGCCCCATTCGCACTGCCAGCGAGCTATGAGTGACACCAGGCAGGTTCTGAGCGAGCGGATACCGGCACAAAAAAACAGTCGTCCATTCTTCCAGTACCTTGCCGGTAGGGGCGCAAGCCAGAGTAATTGCTCTTCAGCATGGGGATGTGGGTAATTCTCGCTAGCCATCCTGGGCCGTCACGCCAAACTCTCAATGCGAGCGGTGACTGTGCTCAGCTGGGGCTGGCAACATCGGCGATATGGCGGCCTCAGAGCTGGCCCCAGTCGCAACCACCGATCCAAGATCCATACTGATACGGTCCCGAGGACACACGACACAGAAACCAAAGCAACCACCGCAACACAGATCCGGTCGCTGTGGGGACACCTGCCCTAGTACGACCTCGTAAGCATAACGGGAGCTTGCAGAAAAATCGCAGCATATGTGACCGAATCCGTACTTTTCTTGAATCTGTGTCTCGCAGTATTTGCGGCGCCCGTGCCCATTGGCTGAGCGGAAGACTCCGGGAGGGTCATGATTGCGCGGCGCACCGACAGCGACGTTCAGCCCCGGGGGGCAGGCAGATGAGGGACCGAATAATGATGGGAACGCCAGGATGACGCCCGGCCGCGACTCGTAATGGAAGGGTACTGACAGTGGGCTTGAGATGGGGGCAGTAGCCGCTATCACCACTGCCAAGACAGGTTTGACAGCCCGGACTGACGACAACCAGTAGAACGTTGACCGGCTCGGTGGCTCGGTCGCCTAGGACAGCGTGCCAAGAGCGCGGTAGCCAACGCCGGGGCCGAGTGTGTCGAGCCGCCCCAGGCTTCTTGAGGGTTGACCTGGGTTCCGTACCCGGGCGAGGTGGGGGGAAGGGGTGCTTCCTGGCTTCTCATGATGAAATCAGTTCGAAAGCCTGGTCGCTGCGCAGACTTGCAGAAAGTCGTCTCCACTGGTTGTGATGAAAGAGTCGGTGATCCAAGGCCCGGGGTCAGTTCATCTTACGAGCAACCTCGGACGGCCATCGGAGAGGGGGCGTGTGGTGTTGGCCGTCCATGCTGGCACGGAAACTTTGAGGTATCTTTTCCGTCGGACGAGTTACCCTGGCCGTAGAACCAGGACAATGGATCAGTGGATGAAAATCGACGAATACGGTTTTTTTTCTCTCTGTTTCAGTGGCCTTCGTATTGCCTGTTTTTGGTGCAGCCAAGATGTCGTAGCGTTTGTGAGGTTGCATCGAGACGGATTTGCCAAGTGCCCTGTCCAAACAGAATGCTCGTTTTCCTGTAGGGCAAAAGTTTAATGGAACAGGGCATGCAAGATCTGTGGCAGACCATGGAAAAGCTTGTAGGCGATGGCCGAGGGGTCGGTCGTACGTACACCGCATGGGCGGATATGTCTGTTGCGTGCCCGCGACCGGGTTTCCATGTCATTATGACAGTCCGGGACCACGGTACGCAAGGCTCACCATTATGAATCGTTGACGAACCATTTTTAGATGAAACATGAGGTGGATGGGCGCAGTTTCGCGTCGACCACCGGAAGTCTGAAGAGGGAGGAGGCTCAGGATGGCTTGGGCAAAGACGGTTGGAGGTGTTATTTCGGGATCAGCAATGTCGGCCGTGGCTTTCAACTTGCCAATCAGCGTGAGAAGAACGGGATGATCTGGATCCGGGGAAGGTTGATGATCACGGAGAGGGGGGGGCGGGGGCGTTGGTACAAAAAACTGCAATGACTGCAAGTGAGTGGCCGATCCTTGCAAGGGGAGAAGCAGAGGTGCAATGTCTTGGTCCTGAGAGTTGGCCGACGGCTGGCACAGCTGGCAGCTGGCAGCGAGGCGTGTAATTAGGTAAGGTATTGCCAGAAACAAAACGTTGCATCGAGCTCTAGACTCGCATCATCGCGCCGACATGCATAGTATGATTTATCTTTTCAATTATTAATTACTGCTGCGTCATCCGCCAGGCCCGACTACAGCTAATAATCAGGCTCGCCATCGAAAGGGGACGCAATGTGCCAAGAAGGGGACATGGGAGAGCAAACAAGGCTCGGCAAGGTGCCAGCACCATCAGATTGGTATGGCAGAAATTACTTTCTCGCATCACATGGACAGCTACCTGCATGCATGTCGTCGCAAGACATGTGCAATAACAGCCAGAGACACACCTGGCTGGCTGTTGGCGCCCAGCTCGTAGCTGAACATGCACACCCATTGGGCACGGAGCCGAACAAGGACAACCTCTAAAAAAGAGACTGCGTGCAGAAAGCTGTGATTTGCTTACGACGACGCTACCCTCGTGCATGAGCTTCATTTCTCATCTTTCACGCCACGGCGACGATTCATTGGTTCTCTAAGCCTGCAATATTGTCTGCAGGCGCTGTCAAATCAGGACCGAGATCTGGCATCGCGCCGCGATCAGGCGATCGGAGGAAATGTCTGCCCCACTGGCCGTCTCCCTGACATAAGCGAACGGCGTAAGCAGGGCCGGGCTTTGAGTGGTTGAAAGGGAAAATGAACCAGAGTGACACATGGATCGCAGCGGGATGCGTTGGCGTCGTGGTACGAGATCGTCCTCATGTACCGCCTGCACACTGCCGAATGATACCAGAGGCAGCGACAATAGAAACAACAAAGACGCCCTCTCAGCTCGCAATCCCACACACTGTCGCGAGCCTCGAAACCTCAAGGGCGTGCTCGACCCAGATACTAGCCATTACGCTGTGGCTGGCTGGCGTAGATTGAGGCTGGGCCGCTTCTTTAAGCAAACCCCCCCTCCCTTCTTTGCTCACCTGCAGATTATCTCAACCCAATTATTTCCTGTTATTAATAACAGTTCGTTTTAATTCATTTGAACAAGGCGCTCCCGGGCTTCATCTCCATCTGGACGAGTGTCTCCGCCCCAGAGCACCGCACAGCACAGCCAGCGCCCACCCGTCGGCTCGCCACGTTTGTGAGCCGTTCACCCCCTTCCCACTCTGGCGGATCTGGTCTTGTCCATCTGACTAGCCGAAACCAGCTCCCTGGCCCAAGGCATCGCGGTGGGCTGGCCGGTTTTCGATTGAATCAGCAGCAATAGGTTGTTCTCCGCCCGCCTGACACCCTGACCAGGCCCAAATTACAAGGCGCCAACTGCCCCGTTTCTCGCGAATGCTTCCAGAAGGCACAGGTTCGGTCATGCCGATGGGACGTAGCAATATACGATGGGGCGGAGCCATGTACGGATATCAACAAGGTAATAAATAGCACTATACAATTAAACCTCCTGGTTGAGATGCCCTGAAGGCAAAAAGTTCGAGACGGTGTGGGCGAGCTGCAGAGAAAACGCAATATGTGCACGCATGTAAAACAAATGCTACGCATAATGTGTCCCTTTGTGGGAGGTTGGCCGTCGGCGAAAAGCCCCCTAAAAGTAAAAACTTTGGGGCCCCTCTACGGACCCTGCCAAGAAAAATAGAGTCGAGGACAAATGCCAAGGCTGAAAGTGGTGTGGTATAATGACTGTGCATCAAGATGATGTCGCCGGACGCAGCGGCGATGCTGCGCGACGAGGTTAGAAACAGATGGGGCGCGTGGGTATTGTGGCCGATCTCGCGTGCTACGTTGATGATCTGAGGCGTTGAATGATGCATGTATTCGTACATACTACATATGCGCTGGAGGAAATGAACGAACAAGCAGGCGCCGTCCAACGATGACGAGATTTCTCACCGCCGTTAAGTTGATGCGCAGCCAAGCGGCGCCCCTCCCTTCCCTCGTCTCGTGCATGAGGTGGTCATAATTCTCCTACATGATTGTATTGATTCCCACATGCGCACGCCCCCCTCCCCACACGAATCGTGCATGTAATTGGGAAAGCTTAGCTGCACGGAATGACCCTGTGCAAGTTGAGCCTTGCGATGTATCAGTAGCACACCGGTTGTTTCCCTATATGAATAGTAAAAGGAGTGTAGAGATGCATGTCCGGGATGACTGCATACGCTTCGAGGAGCGCTACGGCAAGGCTGTGTCATTGCAGGAAGGAAGATTGCCCTGAGTCAGGTCCAAAGTAAATCCGATACAGATGATACAGTTAACTGCAGTAATTATGAGATTGCAGTGATCTCGACATATGCGGGTTAATTGTGGGTTGTCTATACGTACTGAGTAAGCCGTGAAGATGGCATCTCTGCTCTCGGAGGAGCCTATTAATCAGATATTCTGGCAAGTCTGGTTCCCGGTTTGGACTGAAGTGCAAGCGAGCGGCTTTCTACCGCAAGGTTCTCTACTTCACAACCAGCGCGCCCTACATGCCCCTCCATATGACAAGTCATTGGTCTCGTCTCTCTCATGATTCGTACGTTGCAACATGGTGCAATGCCGGTCTCGGACGGGGTTGAACCAATGACCACGCCAGCGCGGAACTCTCGGGGGGCTCTGTGGGCGGGAAGCATCAAACGAAATGAAAAGCATGACAAAGAAAGTATGCTTTATTAATTGGTGTACCCTTTATCAATCGAACATGTGTCATGCAGGCCAGAAAGATTGCGTACCGATCAAGTGCTCGGAATGGTGGCGCTGCGCTTTCCGTGGACAGCGCCGATATCGACAGGCTCAGGGGTGGGAGAGGCAGTCATGCACAATGGTACGAGGAATATCACGTAAAGGGCAACGAAATTGTGCCGGACCATGTTTCCCCTCTGGCTATTTGTCTACTAGTAATGCCGCGAATTGCCTCCTGTTGCTTTCGGAATACCCTCGGTGTCTCACCTGCGCCCTCGAGAGGCGTGCATGGTAAATACCGACACCCGTTCCGGCAGATTCCCCAACACAGCCATCGCCGGGTAGTCCCAGCGGCGGAGAGAAGGGCGGGAGACCCCAGTATTTAGTAATAAAATTAGGCTTTTTCTTTTCCTCCTCGTGATGGGCAAATCTGCAACGTCCGTGCCCTCCGCAGCAAAAAAAGCTTGTTCGCGATTACAATGGCCTGGTTTTCCATGGCTCTTCAGATCTGCCGAACCCTTATGTAAGAGGAGAAAAAAAAAAAAGGCAAAGAAAACAGAGTTTCTATATTGTGGAGATGGAGGGAGGAAAGGAAAAGGGGCTTATTCAACCATTTTAGGGCAAACCGTGCACCTTGCCTGGGTTCGTCAACGGTAGTGTACATGCGACACTACCTAGTTAGGTAGGTAGTTATTTTGTTCTGGGAAACAGGCCGTGATGCTAAGGGGGATGTGCGCGCCCATGCAAAAACTAAACGGCCGAGCACTGAATTTTTTTTGCATGAATTCAAAGAAAATTTGCAAGGAGAGTTTGTGAGGAGGAAAGCACAATGGCACATTCAGAGACCGAAAAAAACTAACGGACAGTACGAAGCACACAAGAGGGAAATCGAAATGGGTGTTGGCGACAAACGCCGATCAAAATACTGGGGTTGAACTCACACACTTTCCGTCTAGTCGATTTGTGACGCGAGCCGCATGCTTCCCCAGCATGGACATTTGGCATGCTGACCGGTCACGAAGGAATTAAAAAATGAGGAAAATACAGCGACCAGCGTATCTTGTTTGGGTGTAACAAGGGGGACGCTGGCTCATCATCAACGGACGATAGCCGAGAGGACAACCAGCCGTCGGGTTTTGGTGTCTTGGCGGCGGCGCTGATGTGGCGTGAGCGTCCGTGCTTGTCGGTATTTTTTTCCTTTTCTAGGGGGGAAAAGCATCTATCCGCCGGCGTGGATACGGGCGATGCACGCATTTCCACGGACAGAGACGCCCACTTTGAGGCTGATGATCGTTTTCAACGGGCAGCCAGAAATCAGGAGCAATTTTCTAGCGAGCATCTTGGCCCGTTATCGTGGCAAATGTATACTGGTATTGTCGATTGGTATGGTGGGTGGTTGGCCTTGGGTCACGACACATGGTCACCAACACCATCATCAATTCTCGTCTACCGTCCCAAAGTTGAACTCTATACGAGGAGTTGAACACCTTTACGGAGTTATTTTTGAAAGACTATTTTGCCGAGGCGCGCGCCCTCTCGTCTTATTCATCCTCCGCCTCCCACCCAACAAGGTCGGGCGAAAAAGCTTCTTTCTCGTAAAGTTTACGGAATGCTTGGCTTGATGCTCTGACACGCCCCCCCACATCGCGAACCTGACCGATTCGGTTCTGCAAGAGCCTAACAAAGAGTAAGGTTCTTCATTTCTGGCTCCGAATCCCATAGCAAAAACATTATTACGTCTTTTTTTTTTTTTTTGACATTCCCCCCACAATCCCCATGGCTATTTTAGGGGGAGGGGGTGGGTGTACGGGTTATGAATTGTATATACTTGCCAAATAAAGCCTGTAGGTGAAGGAAACGAGGCAATGAGACCGGATGACTCGTCGTTGAGAACGGCAGTTGAACATTTGTGAAGAAATGGCTTCTTTCACGTTGCGTACAGCGACAACGAATACAACCGCGGCAAACGCTTCTGCCAGACTCACGGTGCGGCACTGCGCGTATGTGTCATTGTGCAAGGCCTGTCTACCTATTCGTAGCTATGAAAACCTGTCTACTATATTGCTTGTTTCAGCATCTAAATGGCTTATATCCACGTGCCCATCTTTCAATACAATAATGAGCAAGTTTAATCGTGATAATAACAATAGATAGGCATGGGCATATACCCTTGGTCATGGGTGTAATTATTCCGCAAATCTGGTGACTTGTATCTAGCGCGCCGTCGCATCACAACCTGATCGCCCGCCGCTTGGCAACGCTACAGGGGGCCCGATTTTACGTTGCTCTGAGGACACCACTTTTGGGCCTTGACATCGTAGACACCCCTCGAAGTGGCTTGGGCTTGGGGGTCACTGGAGCTCTGCGAAGTGATCCGGGCGAGTCTGATGAGGGGCCTTGAGCAAAGATCCATCACCCACTGTATCCCCCATAGGTAGCCCACTAAATCCCTTGTACTTGTCCACTACCTAGGTAGGTACCAGTAATGGAAGGTGCACTGCCCTCTGGAACTCCAGTAATAATAGCCTACTACCAGCCCCAGCCCCTCCACCAGATGCTCCTCTCGCCTCATCACATCCGTCCATCCATCAGACCATCACCCATCTCGCTTCGCTCATCGTTCTGGAAGGTCTTTTGCCACGTGTGACCAAATCTCGTGTCTCCGCCTTTTCTCCTCCTCCCTTGCTCAGCACAGAGCCGCGCCCTGCTACGCTCGTCTGCCCGCGCACGCCGTCGCCCCGATCCATGATCCCTCGTCGCCCACAGCATGGGACAGCAAAGTCGTAAGGACGCAAAAATCGGAACCCGCTTTGCCATTAGCTTCTTCGTATGGATTGTTTACCGCACGATGCTCACTCGAAATTACCGTGGGGGTGTGTGTTTGCCTCAATCTCTGGTACCTGCTTGCCTGCCTTCGGAAAGTGCCGTCATGACACTCGGGACGTCCATCGTCTGCCCGATTGTCGGTCCTGTCTCATCATGGTTCGCATCGGCTGCAGCGACATACACATCCGCCCGATAACCTCTTTCTTCTTGTCACCCTTTCCATGTCTGCCGGGAAGCCAAAAAGAGCTTATGCCTGCCCGCTGTTGCAGCATGCTCATGATGGCCCGTCTTCGCCCTATCCCACTCGCACTACGCACTCCTCGAGATGGCCGTCTTTGGCTCTTGTGTCCTGCTCTCTTGCAACTTTACCTGCTTTCTCGCCACGATGACCCATGGCTTCTGTTCTTGCCTCCCATCATCGGCCTAGCACGGCTATCGGATGTACCAGGCGCTCTCTCGACTGCCGCATCGCCGGACTGTCTCCACACATGCTACCTCAATACCGAGTACCCCGAGCCGTTCCATCAAAGCCAAACATACGAGTCATGGGGTTTTCATCTAGTTGTCGGCAAATTGTATTGTCGCGATACGCCCACACATCACACCCCTCCCAGTAATGTGTAGATTTTCTGCAAATAGCATCGCAGAGAAAGCAACGCCAAAGCCAACACAGGCTCAACACTGGTCGCGGACCCGGTGTTGCATCGCGCCGCATCAAATCGGCTGCAAAAGCGAGCCGCTTCACCTGCCGTCCGAGCACAAACCTACGCACGATCAGACATCATCGGGTTTGCGGGCGCACTTCTTTGTTCCTTTGTTGAGCCGTCTTTATTGTTCCATAGCTCTGCGTCGTCTCACGCCCCTCTGACCGCCTGCCGCGGCGGAACCACTGGCCGCGAGACAAAAGATTCAACAATGCTTGGCCACCCCACCCGACCATCTGCATCTTAGACCAGTCGCAAAACGCCCTGAACTGGCAAGGGGCATTTGCTGTTCGCCGCGGCCGCCCGTTCCACGGGCCATGACATCAATTGCCGATTCCCAGCTCGGTTTCTGAACACGGCAAAGCCTACGGAGTACGCCACACGATGCTATGAGACCTGATCCAGCATAGCCCTGGCGCCCATCGTCGCAAATGTCTCTAGTAAAGAACCACGACGGGTGTCGATCGGCATCGAGGCCTAATCTGTACAGCAGAAACCAAGGCCACAAAACCAAGGCCACACGCACCCTTATATCTCGTTTACCAGTAGTGGCCGCTAATCCACCGTCGGCACAGCATCGTGTCCAATGCGCTGCTGCATCACTGATGCCCATTCGCTCAATTCGCCGATGCCCCGGGCTTTGCGGTAAACGTGCCAATATGCCGCTACAAGTAGTGCGACCACGCCAGCAGAAAGAGATTACTTCAGCAAAGGCCAATCAAATATCCGGAGCCTTTCACAGAGCGTGTGACACGGAGCAGAGTTCGACTTCGGGACTAGCTCGGAGGCAAGGGCTGGCATGCCTTCTCCGATATTGTGCATTGCAGGTTCCTGCACAGTCACACCCACCTCGGCTGCCTGATGTGTCGACCCAGATGCGACAAGTAGGCCGCCATCCTGCGCTGTTTTGCCGCGTGCCAGTGATACCTCGAGCCTTTCTGTGGACGGAGGATTCAGCTCACCGCTTTCTCTAGAGCACTGCTAGCATTGTTACATACATATTCATTGCAATGCTACTGTTACCACACAGCAGTATTAGACCACAACAAAAAAAATAGTGGAAGCAGCTAAGCAGAGAACACATCATGTTCATCTGCTGATAGCTGTGTGCAACTGGTGGTGGTACTTTGTGCAAGGCCGCACCGTCAGAGGGAGCATCTCTGAGCTAATCGGCCATTGGCGGGACGCACACAATCAATTGAAGCTAGCGGATAGACGTCGGGGGACAACGTAACTAGCAGCTGGCCGCGCAAATCGCTCAAAAGAGGCGCCAACAAGCTGAAGATGCAGAAACAGGCCACGAGCAACAAGCTGACACGGCCTCGCATCTGCGTTGCCAAAAGGTGCGATGTAACGCGGTCGGAAAAGTGTGTGGGCGATGAGGTCAAGCCCCCCTTTGTTTCTTCACTTTTTTTTAATAGACGTCAGACGGAGGGAGGGGGGCTTGCTTGTTGGCAGATGGACATTTGCCCATGGCAATGTCGCATGTGGTACGGATTACTGTGATTTGAGGTGTGGCCCTTGCGAGATGCCTGCAGAATACAGCATGCATGTGAGCAGATAGATGCACACCAACTGGTATGGGAAAGCTGAACAATGATGAAGACGAGCCAAGACCACAGGGATCTATCTGTAGCAAGGGGGAGGAAGAGAAAGAGGGCGCCCACGCTAGCAACTAGTTAATAAATGCAGACCTCGGTTGCCTTGGGCTTTCATTTCTTGTTGCAGTTTGATTAACGACAGATTTTTTTTTTTTCGTAAAAATGACCTGCGCCCGCTCCCAACGGCACGGCCGCAGGGGATCGAAATCGCGATTCCAAGGGACATGAGCAAGGAAAAAGAAATACCGATGCAACCGTGTGTGTGTGCATGTGTGTGTGGCGTGTGGCTCCAGCTCCTACGTCAAAGGGAACCATCTTGTGATGAGACACAGAAAGGAACAGAAAACGAGAAAAGAAAAAAAGAAAACGAGTTTCAGCAGTTCTGGCAGCACAGAAAAAAAGATGGTCGCCGAAGTTGACAACTCTAGCTAACACACGACTTGTCGCCAATGCGGTTGGAGAAGAACCAACCCCTCTTATTACTCCTGGAACGGGTAGCCACGACCGATCGCTAGAGTCAGCAACGATTTGCTCCTTGTATCTTTGTTGATCTAAATTTTCTTAATCATAAACTCGGCTGGCAGAGGCAAACTAAAAGAATTTTTTTTTTTTTTTTCAAATTTCAAGACCCGGAGATGACAGTGGTTATTATTACTCGCCGCCACCCGGTTTGTGTAACAGAGGGCACACGAATTATAGCCCTCCGATTTTCAATCGACCGGGGGCGCTCTCTTAGCAGATTGCAGATTGGCACAACACGATTTTGGGTGCCTGGCCTTTTACGGACAAACCACGTCGCCCCGCTCCCCCCCCCCCGCCTCTCCATTGTGGTCGGGGAACAAGAAAAGAGCGCGGCCCTCTGTTCTGTAAAGATGATAGTAATCTTAACAAGAAGGACAAGAAGGAGGGGGTCGCGTTGGTGACGATGAGCGTGAGTGTGCGTGTGATTGGAAACGGAAATGGAGGGGGAGTGCGGGATGCGCACGAAAGCGATGCATGCATCTGATCTGTGAGAGATCAAAAGGCCGCAGAGCATGCTTTTGAGGAGCCCAGGCCGCCGCTGGCCGCCTACTTACCTAAGGTACCTAGGCTAGGTAGAGGATGGTGCTCGCCAAGCGGCCTGCCATGGATGTTATGAGATGTGCCCTGTATCGGCGAGGTCTTTTTGTAGTGTCCGCCGAGCCACTTTGCGGTACAAGTCCACTCCCCCTCCACGATACGTCCATGATGCAGAAATGAAGTCAAAAGGCATCTTTTGTGGTTTTCGCGTGCATGTAACCCGCACGCGACAGCCTGATGGAGCCAAGGCGAGAGCCTCGTTTTCATACGCCTCACCTACTCCATGCGATTTGTAATGAACTCTGCTGTGACGGCAGCCTGTTTTGCCTTGCCTCTCTTCTCTCGGCACCAGATGCAACATCAATCTAAGAAATCGACTACTTCAGGCCCATTTAGCGTTAGACCATGCGCATGTCTGGTGATGCTGTGACAGCTGCGGTACTCGTCTAGCCCTCTTGGACAGTGGTTGGGCGGGTGTCATTCCTTCCCTGTACATTCGTTACTGGCGCTTCGCGACAGAACATTGTCCCCGCAATCTCTTGGTACATTGTGTCTTGGGTCGCGACCAACATGGCGCAGGTGGCCGCACTGGAGGGCGGCGTGCGCCGCTAAATCTTGGCGTAACCGTTGACAAGACCATTTGGGCGAACAAGAATGATTTTCCTTCAGCAGGCGACGCCCGCCGCTGTCTTCCTTCTTGTTTTTCAATGGATTGAGTTTCATTTGGCGCCCGCGCATATTACCCAAAGTTATCGCCGCCGCCGCATACGCACCGTTTACCCACTCACATCACCACCGGGCGCAACTTAAGAGAGCCTGAGCCGAGAGTGAGCGCGCCCCCCTGTTTTGTAATTCCCGCTCGCAGATTCTCGGCCGAAGGTATGCTTTGCTCGTGAGACCAATGGCGCGGCCTTGTAGTCTCGAGTGAAATAGCGAACGCAACCAGAGGACGACGTCAAGGTAGGAAGCTATTACCGAGATGAATGTTGAATTGATGTGTCATCGTAATCGAAGCAACATACGCGTAAACAAGCGAAAAAGTCCGTCATTCCGTGCTTCCGAGATGTGAGGGAGGGGAGGAGAACTTTGGTCTCAGATCAAGAGACAACCTCTGCGCCCGTCTCGCTTCTTACTACCCGCCAAGATGCGGTGTTTTTAATGCAACAAGGTCATCGGACTTGTGGCGTTTCTCCGAGGGAGGGCATCAAAAGTGTGCGTGTGTACTATTATGATTGGGCTTGTATCATTGTGTGTGTTGCGAGATCAGCCTCGTTTCTCGCCTCTGACTGCTTGAAAACACTGGCGCCGGCCTCGCACTCGTGATTTGTCCGAACCTTGAGGCTATCTAGCCTCGTTTTCTTTTCTGTGCAAATCGCATACGAATGAAGATACTTTTGCCCAGTCGGTGGCGGCGTCAGACCACCACAGGCAAACCGCGGAACAGGACATGTGGTGGGTTGAATAGCTAGCGCCGAATCCTTCTTTGTTGGCAATCGAAAAGAGGAGGGGCTGGGGGGGGGGGGATCAATGCTAACAAGCGTAGATTCCCGCTGCCGATGCGTTTTGCTTTTTGTAGAGGAACGAGTGATAGTGGATAGCCGCACCACACACATTGTAAACCAGCCAGCTTGTTGCACCCCTCCTCCTTCACATCACCAACCATGCCACAGCTGAGGCAAGGCTAACGAGGCGGGCGCGGTCCTCCAAATCAGGATGGCGCCATCAACATGCATCGCCGCAGCCCAAAGTAAACGAAGATAAAAAGAGAATGGACAGGCGCGTCAAGAAGCAGCATGATGCAACATAAGTGATGCAACAAAGTGCGAAATCTTGTCCGATTGGGCTGGTCGTCAAGGTCTGCTGCTGCAGGTAGGTGGCTCTTTCCCTGTTGCTTCCCAACAAGAGAAACTTCCGAAAGCGGAAAAATAGCCGGCCGAGACGTTTTGCCAGCGAGATGGGCGATACTTCTGATTCATTCATGTCTTTTCAGAAAAAAAAAATAAATAAAAAAATGGATTGAAAAAAACGGTCATTTACTACGTAGAATCAGGGATGGAGAGCGGAGACACACATCGTCGAGGCTGGCGGTGGCGGAACCAACATTTGATAAGAGACCCTCCCCCTCCCCGCCTTGGCTTCGAGACGATGAAGGGGCCGTACCAACGGGGAGAGGAAGAGAAAAGAGGCTGGTCGACGCGAAAGGAAAACCCACTCGCATTTTTAGCCCCAGCTGAGCAGCCCCGTACAGAGTCCACGATGAGGCGTATATTGGCTCCATCTGCTGACACTGCGCCGACTTTCAAAGTTTTGGGTCGTTTTATGGGCACTCAACGCCTCGTCTTCCTTGAGAGGTTGAGAGGCAAGAGAGGGTACTGAGCTGCTCGTACGAGATCACAGCAGTAACAAGCAATTGTCTAGTGGATACATGGGCTTTGTGAGCCAAGTCAAGACAAGAAAAGGGTGACATGGCGTCTTTTGGCCAAAAAATCTGTTGTCCTTCCTACGCAGCGCTTATCAGACACCGACGAAAAGAAGAAACGGGAGACGATAGTAGTCACTCTCCGCAAAAGCAACGACCTGGCTTGCAGATTCGGCACTCTGCGCACAAATGGGATTCCTGACTCGACACCATCCTGAAACAAGGATATGATGAGAGATTGTAGCTTTTCATTACTGGACAAGTTCTTGGCTGGCATTAGCATTATGTGGGGCTCCACCGTTTGCAAAGACTGGCAGACGAGCAGGTAAAAAAAAAAAAAAAAACGACTCATCAGGTGGCAGAAAATAAAGAGGCGATCAAGATGAGCGGCAGATGCACCCTACCGACAGTATGGACACAGACTTAGCACAAAAAGAAGGAAACCTACGATGGACACGAGTCAGGCGGCTTGTTTCGAGCATGCTTCGGCGGGGTTGAGTTGCACCGTAAAATGACAGGATGAACTGGTGCATCATGACCGGCAGACGCCACCATGCATTCTTGACCGGACGTGGATCCGCTAGTCGAGATGCAGACAACGAATGCACTGTGGAAAACCGTGATGGATCGCTTGGGAAAAGGGGGACTCGACTCGTCCACGATGGCACTGCGAGAGCCCTGACTCGTTCAGATGGGCCGGCCAACCAGACATTCAAGACACGACTGCGAACGAGGGCCGAATCGTGCCAGGGCCCTTTTTTCTTGATCCTGACCCTCTTAAATCGAACATTGTCTGGAAAATCCTTCTCCAGTCTGACTGGTTGCGATGGTCGGCAAGGCCTCGTTGCGGAGACAAAGGACATCATTGATGTTGCTGATGAGGGCGGTGCAGCGCCAAAAAAAGAGTCAAGGCTCGGCCAAGGCTAGAACGGACGCCCGCGCCATCCGCGTTTTGTCAGAAAGAAAAGGTGGAAAGGACATCATACGGTGACATTTACAGACGTTGGTTCGAGGCAAGGTTTTCTCGGGACTCGGTGCACCGCCTGCGTCTTGCCCCTTTGTCGTGGGCCAGATGGGAAAACGTATGACCAGGAAAGAACACGTACCGATGTAAGCCCCGATTCGTCAAAGAGGATCCTCTAGCTGGAGAAGTCTATTGAGCGAGAATGAACTAGTCGACTAGTCTAAAGGATGAAGGAGATTTTGCTACAGAAACCAGGCTATGCGTGACGTGAGGAGAAGGATTTCCGGTAGAGCCGCAGGCCTCTGGCGCCGCGCGGGATGGTTTGGCCGCTTCCAAAAAGGGAAAATCCAGGCGCTGCCATGATAGGCGAGGAGCTAACACGGGGAAAGGATGCTGGGCAATCATGTCGTCAACGTAACAAGGCTCACACCAGCGTCATTGTTGATGGCTCGTCTCCACTCTTGGCGATGTGCTCGGGGAAAGGGCGAAATGGGAATATGCAAGAACTAGGGAGAAACACTTTTGCGGGCGCGCGTTGGTCGCGGTTCGATGAAGCGTTACCGCACAGCGGCCGTGCGAGAGAGTCGTTGTTCGCGATGAACCTTGCAACCGGACTTGTCACCGCAGGACTGCTTTTTGCGCTCGAACCAGGCCATGTACATGGATCACGATGAACCAGAAGCCCCAGCGGCCTCGTTACCGTTATTGCCAGTATTACATTGTCATTCGAAATCTGGTGGGTATAACGATGACATACCCAGGGCCGGTTTTCCGTACCCGGCTACAGCTTCCAGTGGCTTGGTAGCGGTTTTTTTGGGTTTGGTTTTCCGGGGCCAAGCGTTTGATTTGTTCCCCCGACGAGAATTAAAATAAATAAAAGGAGCGCCACACCACGAGGAAAACATCCCTGACTCTGTCCATCGGATCTGACTATTTTACGGTTGTAATAGTGCCTGTGATGTGGTGGCCCCGTGATGAGCGGCGTGAGATTTCCGTCGGAGATGGGCCAGGTTTTCTTTTCTTTTTCCTTTTTTGTTTATTTAGCATCCCAGCTCATATTTGCTTCGGAACTTGTCCACTAGAGGGGACAAGGGGAAGCAAGTTCGGTTCTCGGCGGAAGAGAGGGTATCATCATATGATGACATGACGATGAAGACAATAAAGGAGAAGAATAGCAGGCTATGTGCAGCGATAATGTGCATCTGGAATGGGGGTTCTGTTTTTTTGTCGATTTTTTTTTCCTCGCGAATCGTAATACGATACAATCGGTTAAGCTAGTTGGATGGCTGAAAGGTTATGGCGCATGTGTTCTGCAATGAAACATACTTTCGGCCGGGTTCCGTGGTATCTTGGCCAGCCGCCCCCCCCTCCTCCAACTTCCTTCTTCAGCTGCGCCGCAGCCCCGGCGGAAGAAAGGAGCACGAGGGAACAAAGGGAATTGGGCAGTGATGCCAACGCCGATGTGCGCAGGGGACACGAGAGGGCAGAGGGAAAGCGAGCACAGAGAAATGTATACAGATGGGTGGACAAGCGTGGCACAGGTGTGTGAGGGCAAAAGAGAAAGAAAGAGAGAGAGTGAGAGAGATCTTGTTGTGCCGCGTGGTTTTCTGCAGCTGTCCTTGTGATGGCGTGCAGAAAAAGGGTAACATGGCCAGATAAGATGGCGTCTACTACGGTGGTGCTACATCAGTGATGGAAGGGCAGTCGCATCGAATCTGTGAAGCGTGTTGGCGGGGTATGGCGGTGAGTGGCAGGTAGGGGAAGAGTGGAAGACGATGACAACAGGAACAGGCAGAACGGGACCGCTGAATAACGGCGATATTGTTGGCAAGAAAACAGAAAAAGTAAAAATAATAATAATAATAATAATAATAATAATAAAATAGAAAAGCCTCGGGAACGTCCCAGTTGGGCGGATACCTAAAAGACGGTTGAGTAAGTGATTAGCCTGCCGCGCGATTCATCCAAAACCGTGACCCACCTTTTCTTCTTGTGGTTAATCCATCGTGTTTTCTTTTCTTTTTTCTTTTTTTTTTCTTTTATTGCATCTATTTTCTTACCCACTTTCCACCTCTCACCCCACATACGCCCTCCCCTGCACGTGCCCTGCTACTGGTACTGACTACTGAGTAACAGACGTAACAGGTTACAACCAAAAAGCTGCCGCTCTCGCAAACTCACACCCTCCTGTTGATCTCAACTTCACTCCCCCTCCATCACACTGGGCGTTGGCCGAGGTCTCGCTCCCACACCCAAACCTCGTGTCCACCGATTCCTTTGATTCCATCGAGCCCTGCTGCCAAGTCAGATTGTATCGACGGCCTAAAAACGCGCCAGATCCTCTTCCTTTTCGTATGCACACCCCTCCCTTCCCCCCTTCTTCCTAGCGACACAGATGCGGTGGCTCTTGGCTTTCTTGCTAAGCCCAGCCCACCTCGTCAACCCATCAACCCATCCGCCCTCCCCATCTTGGTGTCATTGCCACGCGCCGCATATTGAAAGCGGGCGACTCGCAGTCCCCCGGCAAAGCTCCGTCTTACACTAGGAAGACGAGCATCAGAGAAAAAAAAAAGGCAAAAAGAAAAAGAGGCCCGACAGTCCAACGCACACACCATTCCCACCCTAGCCGGCCTTTATTAACATACCTACACCCCCCCGTACTCGTCTAAGCTGGCTCGTCTTGCATAACACATATTAACAAGCCTGCCCCAAACATTATCGTCCATTCGACTTTGATTCTTCCCAACCTTCAACATTTTCTAACCATATGCATACCTACTACTAACAACGATCTCGTCTTTGCCGACTTGCTTCTTCCGCACTCGACCAAGCAAACATCGTCACAACCAACAAACAACCACACATTGCAGGCACACCTCACCGGCCGGCCATGGCAGCTGCCTCTGTCCTGACTCCAAGTGCTCACTACCAGCCGTCGTCCTTTGCCTCATCTACCTATACGCCTCTAATGTCCGGCTCCTCGCCCACGACCAGTATGATTACCTCCGCCGAGCCTCGTCGGCCGACCGATGACCACGCTAGCGAAGCGCCCCCTCGCCAGTCGCTGCCCTCCATCTCCGAAGTCATATCTGGTGCCCGCCCTGGCCAGTACGCTCCTCACCACAGCAGCATGCCGCCGCAGCCCAGCTCCGGCGGCTTGCCTTCGCCTTTTGCTCCTCCATCTCGCCAATACACCGACTCTGACAAGCACTCGCGATCGCCGCAGCCGCTTCACCCTGCCTCGTTTCCCTCGAGGCAAGATACCATTCCTGCCTTTGCCGACTCCCCCAGACCTCCATTCAACGGCCGCGCCGGCCTGCCTCCCGTCACCGACCGCAGACCAACACCCCCCGGCAAGCCTGATGGCCCTGGCCATGGCCCTGTTCATCACGATCACCGTGCCGTCTCGGGCGGCTACCCTCAGCCCCCCGCTCCTACCTCGCATCCCTTCCAGCCCTCTCACCTACCGCCTGGCCAGATGCCGCTGCCCGTATACCCAATTTCTCCCCGCCACGAGCACTACGACGCTCCCCGCCCCCAAACCCACGGCGAGCCTGGTCCCTACTCTCGCAGCAGATACGAGGCTACCCCCCGACACTACGAAAATTGGACTTACCACGAGTCTTTCAGCAGAGTATGTTTACCTGGCCTGATGCCTTTGCTTCTTTTCCCTTGCTAACAAGTCGGCGCAGATTGGATCCAATTCCCGCACACTTTTCAACTTTGCCGAGGCCTACGGCCGTGCTGCTCAGGAGCAGCAAGGGGGCCAGTCATCTGTGGAGCGCCTGCCTAGCGAACGCGAGGTCAATGAAATGCTAGCCAATGCCGACTATATCAAGCGGTCTCTGGAGCAGGTCCGTGATATCGTCCAACATACCGAGCGCGCGCGCGAGGGAGCCAAGGCCAAGAGTGCGTACGAAGAGAGCCACGACGCCAGCATGTACAACGATGGCATGAAGCCTCATTACCCTGTCAATGAGGTCAAGAAGCGCCGCGGTGTAAGTGAGACAACATAACAAGCTTACGAGTTTCGTCACTAACGACCAACATAGCGCGCTGCCCCTCCTGGCCGCTGCCATAGCTGCAACAGAATCGACACGCCTGAATGGCGACGCGGGCCCGACGGCGCTCGCACACTGTGCAATGCCTGCGGGCTGCACTACGCCAAGCTTGAGCGCAAACGCCAACTGGAAGCTCGATCACTGCGACCCAAGACGGAGGAGCGCAACTAAGAGACACGGTGGCGTCGGGGCATTAGCCTCTGACGTGGCTAAAAAAAGAAAAAAAAAGGAAAACAAAACGTTGTGGGTCAAGACGCTGCTGGTTAGCAAGGCGTCGGGCGTCAAACCTTGAACAGCGCCAGGCTTGCCCAGACCCCGAAAGATGGTGGCAGCGTCGATATCAAGACGGCACGACATGCACCGACTGCTTACTCAGAGACTAGCGACGCAGAAGAAGAAAATACCCCCGAGCATCATTCTCAAAAGAAAGATGTTGAGCGGCGCACGAGATGCGCACATGTTTCAACTACAATACCTCAAAGGATGACTTGAGCGATGAGGAGGTGGGGAATGGGCATTTATTCATGGCGTTTTGTTGTTTTGGCCTCTGCCTTTTGGAATGATTTATTTGTACAGGGCGGATTCAGGGACGCTTTCTTCTTATTTTTTCTGATTGTTTTGTTGTGGATGTGGCTCCGGTCACAAAGACGGGGTTCCGCGCAAGCTTTGATGGACACGATTTTCTTCGATACTGTGTTGGGCTGATGTGGCATACTTGCCTCTATATCACGAACACTAGGGATTTGCTTCTTGTGGCTTATTTATTTTCTGTTGTCTGTTGATAACATCATTGGGCGGGCCAAGCTTTGCGATTTATGATTTTTTGGTTTTTTTCAGCCATTTTAGACTTGGGAAGAGGTTACAGAAGGAGGCGGGGAAAGACGAGAGATTACGGCAACGTAGTCTCGAGCAAACAGCATGCAAATCGAAAACGATTTTATCTAAAAAAGAACAGGCACATTGTAGGCAAACATGCAAATCTTGTGACGATCGATGTAGATCTGGGACGATGGCGTAATATGTGGTGCGTGGTGCGTGGTGGTGTGGTGCATGATACGAGGGGTTCGTTCAGGTATGGCGATTGCTCTTGTCAACATGAAAAAGAAAAGGGGGCAACTAACCCAATCTCGGAAACTAGTTCTCGCACAAGTTGACGTTGCCATGTCCCTGACGCCGAGGAGGGGGAAGGGGGGGGGTGGCGTGGCCTAGGTTGTCTGGAATGCAAACATTGTTTGTTCTGTGTGTGATGAATGCGGGAGATTAGGTAGACAGATCCCCGATGAGTAGAAACAGGCGTTCAGCTGAAAGGAGGGGGGGGGCGTTGCGGGGGGAATGCGCCCACGTAGGTATTGTTTCTTTCTTCATGATTCTTGTTAGCTAAAAAAGAAAAAAAAAAAATTACAGGTCATTACGGAGAGGTGTTGGAGCGACTCGCTACTCCGCCATGTCCGTTAGATGTGCAGATTGTGGTGGCAAGATTTTGGTAGGTAATCTATAGATTTTTAGCGCCGTTACGGATCTCTGAGTTTTGGCGCTCAAATAAACATTACACCGAACTCTATTGAATAGACTTGATAATTTCTACTTGATCTTGACTTTTTTTTTTGTAAGTAAAAAAACTCTTTTTCCCCTTCTTTTACATGATTCGATTTCAATAGTAGTCTGTTTCCTTGTTCATTTGTCGTTGGTATAATTTGTTTGCTTGCCGCGCCGATCAAGTTCCCCCCACCCGCATGGGTCGATTTTGGCCCTTTTTTTTGGCACCCTTATTTACTTACAGATTAGCTCGAAAAAAAGAAAAGATTCCATCTTTCTTAAAAGAATTTCCCTTCTTTTCTCTTTCCCGTCGGACAACTTTGTGGGGTGCTTTCTTTTTTCTTCAACAGAAAAAGACTAGTCATGTCCTCTGCGTCAGTGACATTTCCGGGGAACAGAACCGACGTCTTCCGGACACGCCTTTTTGCGTGCGTTGGCGCCGCCCTAGGAAGCTGAGACTCTGGAATGCGGGGGGCCCAGGCCAACGTAATGCAGCCTTGGCAGCAGCCCTTTTCTCTTGTTTTTCGTTCGTTTACGTCTGGGCCATGATGGGGCTCGTTGATTTGCGAAGAATAGAGGCTATTTTTATGAATGCGTAATGAGTCACATCACGCAGGGCGCAGAAAACAGTATGAAACTCAAATCGCGATCGCGCGCCAGAACCAAAACTACGAATAGCAACAGACTAATTTGGTAAGTGGCTGAATGAATTAGAACTCTCCCTGTCCAAGTCGGAAACGTGGCCTTCTATATTTGGACCTAGCTGTCGGCTTTGGCATGCCCCAGAACGCCCTCGGATGGTGGGCAACAAGACAATTTGACATGATTACTCGCAAAGGACTCGGGCCATGCGAGATTAAACCGCCCCCTTCCCCGCCACCGTGGGATTAGTTATGCGGGAGAACTATTCATATCCCGCAGCAACGGCACGGGAAGACGGGTCAACGAGATCGACCTGCAGCGGTTTTCTCCGTTATTATAGAAGACATGTCAAAGGGGACGGACGGGAGACGTGCCACAAACGGGCATTGCCATCCGAGACACACAATACAGCGACTGCTCCTCGAATCCCCGATTCAATGTCACGTCAAGAGGAAAGGAAGGAGGGGAAAGAAAAAGAAAAGAAAAGAAACAGGCATACATATGCGTCTTTGGCACGATCCTGACTTGCAGGAGCGCATTGCCTCGGAAATGAAGCGGGGGGGGGTTGCACTACGCGCGTGTCAAAACAGTTCAATTTCCGAGGTAGACTTGAGAATGTTGCCCCAAGCCGCGGGTGACAAAAAACATCGCCGATGGACTCCTGAATCTTCCACAAGATACACCACGTATAAAATAAGATAACTAAGAAGAAAAAGAGGAATCGGTCCTCTAATACCATCCGTAATTCTCAGTATTTCAAAAATATTTATTTTAAACGGCTTTAGCTGATAAGAGCGAATCTTAGCCGGGCAGGGCGGCGATGTTTTTTGTCACCCGCGTGCCCAACAAAGGAGGCTCCGGAGAAAAGATCCGCAAAGTTATTAGGCCGTCACACTCGAACACAAACCGGTTTCGGGAGAGCCAGATGCCGTATCAAGATGGGGTTGGACAGTAACTAGAGCAAGAGAAACAAGAAAGAAGAGAAAGGACGGCAAGACGGCTGAAAGGAGAGAGATCGCACTATAGTGTCTTAGACACTGAAGAAATATGTCTTTTTTTTTTCATATTTGCTCTACACAGATGCATCCATATCATTTTGGCTCTTCCACGGGCAACTGCTTTGTAAGTTGTTCAGCTTATTAGACAAATTCGGCCACCACGGCGCGCGCTGGAATCAAAAAGTTTTTTTTTTTTCTTTTGTTCTTTTCTCACAGCAGGCAGCCGCCCCTTCGATCGAAGCGCCCGCAGTCTGGTGCTTGTAAAAAAAGTGAAAAATAGACTGAAAAGGCAAGCCTAGACGAAAATGTCACACAGCGCCCGTTGAGAAACAAGGGGTCCAAAGAACGGTGTTGCGCAGGGCGGGTGCATGCAAAGCATATGTTCTTCTTCTTCTTCTTCTTCTTCAACTCGTTGACTTTGTTTGCGAGTTTACGAGATTAGCAAGAGCTGTCTATCTTTTTTTTCCTTTTTCTTTTTTTTTTTNTTTTTTTTTTTTTTGCCTCTCCAATTTTGACACGTTAATAGGGCAGGTAGGTTGTATACCTCGCTCTACTCTGTATCAAAGAAACATTGTTGCGTTCCTGGGATGATCATCGCCAAGGATGGCAAAACATCCCCCAGCTTCGAAATCGCAATACTTAGATTAACCCCCCTTGCCCCCCCCACCCCCCTGTAGTGATTCTTCGTCACGCTGCCGATCGCGGTGTAAGCCAAGCACATGAAAGGGAAAATAAACCATACTGAAACGTTGTCGTGGTCTCCCCCGCACCGGCGCGTGCACGGTCGCATGGGAATGCGATGGATCTGACAGCGCACACATGCAGCTTTAATCTATTCTATGCAGTGCGACGAATAGAGAACACGCAAGGGGGTTGGGGAGAGTCCAATCGGGCGGGAGGAGGAGGAGGGGTGTTTGTGTGGGTGGGTTAGCATGCCCGTCACGGGAGGCCCGAAAAGAATAAAAAAGATGGCCGATGGGTAGTTGGGAATCCCAGCCGGGCTGGCGCGTGTTGCAATAAGCTCTGACAAGGGTTATTCTTTTCGTTAGGATTTCCTGGCTTTGTCTCTGTTGCGACTCTGTGAGCTTTTTGTTGAACCCTTTATTTTTTCAGCTCACTAGTTCCCGGGCGCGGGTTTGAGTCTACCTATCATAGGCTTCTGGGACGGGCTTGGCGCTCACCTTTGATCTTGTTTTTTTGAGATGCATGCCTGCCATTTGCCCATTTTTTGTTTTTATTTTTTTTTTCCCTTCTCGTCTTTGCGGCTTCTCCCGCACCTCGGCCCTCCGACTTTTTGTGTTTGCCTTGAGCCATTTCGTACACGGGGGAAGGGGGAGGGGGGTTGGGTTTCTTACCAGAATGCGTACTTGCGTACGTTGTTGCTTCATGGCCTCGGCTATAGATGTACGGATACGTCACAAACAATAACCCCCCCCTCTCCTCTACTGTCACCGGTCGTACAGGCCCGTTGTGTACGCCCGTACGACGCCATCAGAATCAAAAGGCTACCTGCAGGACGGATCTGGGTTTCTTTTCCCTTTTCGGACTCCGACTACGGTCAGGAGGGAGGGTGTGTGGTGGGGAAGCAAGCGGGCCAAAACGGGCATACATGTTTGTGAATGTCCTCTCCATCGGCTTCACCGCTGGCAAGATCCGCCAGGTTGCCTGCCCGTCTTTGTGTAACTGTGATGATGTAGACGGGGGTGGCATGAAGGCATCCGACGGCCATGACACGCTGCTTTTTGTACTCCGTAATACCGATGTCTTCTTTTTTTTTTTTTTTTGCTTCTTGTTCTTCTTCTCTTCTCATGTTGCTGTATCACCTTGACCCCCGCCGCCGCCGGCGACGCCCCCCCCCCCCCCCCCCTCCCTTCCTTCTTTTCTTGGCGACAAATCTTGAAAGGCGCAATATCGGCCAACCGGGATCGTTGTCCTCGCCAATGTGCCTCATCACCTGACAATCTCACCGTTACAACCACAAGGTAACGGATTACTCGTATGGATGTATGCGTTGTTGGGCGTGTGTAACAAGAGGCGTAGTCCGCGCGGGCGGGATGGGCGAGACAAAATCAGCGCCATCCCCCTTTTGCTCTTTGTTCAGGGTGCTCCCACCAGCCTTGCAAAGCCTCATCGAGGGGAGGGCGCGCCGGTATATTACCTGGTCTGTGATGGCGCACCGACGCATATCTTTGCTGCGGCCACCCTTTTCCCCTCTATGGCCAGCAAAGCAGCCGTTCGATGAACGAGCGACCGTTGTTGGTGGCACAAAAAGTCGGACATGCATTCGAGGATGGGCCCGCCACCCCTCTGTCCACCGAGCCTCGGTTCAACGGGCGTGCTCGGGGTCGCGGAGAGCTGTTGTAATATGTCTCTAGCCGGCCCGAGGGCACGGGTTCGTTTTTTTTCGGAGCGCTCTTTTCGGTTCGTCACAATTTTCATCACATTCCCAAGAGAACGGATCTTGGCCCACCCACGTCCACATGTAGGTCTTATCACTTTGCCTTGTTGTGTCATCCCTTGTCGCTGGGTGCCGCGCCGCGAGGCGATGAACGGCCCGTCGGGTAGATGTGATTAGTGGGGATCGCCGTTGAGCGGCTGCCAGCTGGCTGTGCATAATGAGCAAGGGCCGTCTCAAACGGCTGATGGCTTGCACACATCATCATCACCACCACCACCCTGACATGTAACTATTTGTTCGGCGTTTGGTCCATGAGAAAACGCATCTCCCATCGCCGACCCATCCATCACAATATGCAAAAGCTGCAATCTTCTTTGTAACCCCCCGCACAGCCACAATCGAGCGACCCCGCTCCAGCAGACGCAGTCGCACGAGGCTCTATGGCTTTGTCTTTGCATCCATCGCCTGACGCTGAATCACGCCCAGTTGCGGAGGTGTCTTGGCCAGCCACAGTGAGTGAGAGTCTGAGAGAAGGCGCGAATCAAATGAAATGCCGCAACGCTGCTAACTGCAAGTGCTGCGCAATCGCCCGTGTCTCAGCCTTCGAGCAGCGGCCGCACAATGTTCCGAGACTTGGGGCTCGTCGATCGCTTTGCGCATTTTGTGTAGGCAACGACCGCTGCTCCCATTATCCGCGGTGTGGGTGCCTGGGTCTCACGATATCATTCCCGGGAACAGGGGATTGGAAGACCAATTAAACCCCTGGTTCATCCGAAAGGTCATGGCCGGTTGTCGAAACGTCATCAGTAATACAGCTAGTATGTCTCTCATCACAAATGGCCACTACGCCGTAACATCCTTCAGACAGGAAAACACCACTAGTCCGTCACGTCCGTGCAGCGAATGCGACAAAATACAGTCGCCGCCTCACACAGTCGACAGCAAGCGAATACAGATGCGCCAAGTGCGATGCCATGCCAGCGATTTCACACATGGCCGTGTTTGAGATTTGACTTAGATGCAAAGAGCTTCTCGTCGGCGCCTCATGTGTGGTGGTGGTTTCAGCCGCTGCGACGCCATTGTGACCGTCGCATTGGCGGGCACTATTCGCCGCCCGGCAGTTACCATTCGGCGCCAATTGCCACATGGTGCTCTGGTCGTTGTCCTGGGGCAGTAGCGTCTATTCTATTTTCGTTTTAGTAGCGGCTGTCCGCGAGCAGTCGAGTAGCTCCGTGGGAGACGAGCCAGCGACCGGGCCTTGGGGCCGCACACAGCGTAACGCCCCAACAGAAGCGTCAAAAGACCATGCAAAGGCTGCACAGTAATGCCGGCTAGAGTTCTGTAGGAAATGATGACTCTGAAAATCAAGACAGAAAGAGTTTGTGCAACAGCGCTACGCGAGTGCCTGCCTGGTTCGCTTCCAGATCGAACATCTGCCACGATATCACGAATGCCAGTCGCCCAACTTCAGCTCGCCTATCCCGCGATCCTCATTCCAGGGGGACAAGGAAAGAAAATGCATGGCGTCGGTGCCCCCTTCATCTCTATCATGTCTTGCATGGATCTTGATTCGATCTTTTCTCATTGATATTTTTGATACACTTGTCGCACACGCCCCCATGGAGACGTGTCCTCTAGCGCCAGCCATCAGTCTCTTGCTTGCTGCGCGCAGGGGTAGGTTGGGCTGCGCTTGGGCGCATCTCATCCGGATCTCACTTCCGCTGCACCTAGTGCCCATCTACCTGGTCGACGTGGCGGCGCCCAAACGATACGGCATTCAGGATGGTGCCCTGTGTGAGACAATCTGCAGCCTGATCGTCGTCTCGCGCAATATCAGTCCAGTAGCACGTTCCGCGTTTGCCCTTGTTTGACAGGGGAAAACGCCTCGCATGATTGTGTGAAACTCGGCAATCTTGCTGGCGGCCGGCCGGAACGGCATCGGGGCATCCGGCGACGCAAACAAGCTTTGCTTGCTGCGCCCTGCGCCCTGCCGAACCCTCATCGGCCGACTCTGCATATCGGCGCCTGTGGCGGGTCAACACGTCGCAGTATAGCTGAGAGGCGATCCAATTGATGCATCATCTGCACGTCTAGCCAGCTGCAAAAGTCCACCGAGAAAGAGTCAGTCTGTCAGGCGACGGGTATATCGAACCTGTATGGGAAACGACAAAGCTTCCACGAACGGAGGACTTGTTTCGCCTGTCGTCGCATTGGCATGACTCCAACTGGTCTGACAGAAACCAGATACCCAGATTGCCAGAGTTGCAAGACTCTTCTTTTCCAGTGTCTTGGAAAGGGCCCCATAACGGCTGGCGTTTTCTTCCTCTGCATATCAGTACACGCATGCTGCGTTTGTAATGCCCTTGGCAACAGGTCATCGCCGATGCAACGCACAACCACGTCGGTCAACTCGTCCACATCCTAAAATTGTTCAGCTTGGCAGCAGTCGGAGCGGGCCATGCAGCACGCAGATTTGTCTCAAGGCCCATCATATCTCAGTCGTTTGCGCATGACTACTACTATGGCATTCTTGTGACGGCGGAGTTACTTTTCATGTAAAACGCATCACAGAGAGCCCGACATCCCTCCTCCAAGCACTGTAATGCAGTAGTTTGTGGACAGAAGTAAGTTCTACACGCCGCGCCCAGCGTTCCTTTCCTCGCCAGCAAGGCGTGAGCGCGTTGTTTTTCATCTCATCTATTACGGCACTCGTCGGACACCCTTGAGCGGGCTTGCACAACAAAAAACAACGACGGCCATGTCAATTGCCGACCATCACGAAATGTTGGGGCAGGCCAAGTGCAGCACCAGACAAATAAAGGACTAGTATGAATGCAATTCCAACCATGCTAGATCAACGCCGCAGAGAAGCCACTGCAGCAGTCCGAATCATACCTTTGCCAATTAAATGCTGCGCTGACGGTGCGCTGGCCCGCGAGTCATCGCTTAGAGGCCTTCTGAGCCGGCTTGCTGAGGCATTGATTGCCCCGCTGCACGATCTCGTCGCCCAGGCATGTCGGCCTGGCAATTATTTGCCGATGCGACGTTTGATGCGGGAGGCCTCAATTCTGCTAGAACATTCATACGCCAGTCGCAGAGGCTTGTGCCAGAAACGGAGGGCGCAATAATAGACTCCCGGCAGATCCCAAAGCCCACCGCGATGGAAACAGGCTTTCGGGGGCGTACCTGTATTTACAGACAGAGTCACGATGCAACGTGCTCAAGGTTGCAACGTGGGGGGAAGAGCAATCGAGATTGCGTTCTTGACCACACACCCCTGGAGCGATTGAGGAGACGGGGCCAATGGCTGCCAGTTCCAAACGATTGCGATCTCCCTTTTCCTTTGTTTTTTTTTTTTACTTCCTCTTGCCCGCACCTGCCGTTGCAGTCAGAGCTGCCCTCTGCGTTTTGACTTCTGGAAACCAGCCAGATTCTACAAGCATTGCGGAGCCGGGGTCTGGCCGGCAGGCAAAATTGATTCAGAAAAATCGGAGTCGTCTCGTCGATCAGCTGCTGACTGTACTCCTTCTTGTCCTTCTTCTTGACCAAACTCTGTGTAGGGAGTGATTCAAAAAAAAAAACTCTGCAGATTACAGAGTAGTGCCAGCTTCATTGAACGCCCGGCCCACCGCGACGGTGTTGGTGACGACGACGGCGATGCTCAGTCTAGCCTTGCTGCGTAAAGATGAACTTGGATTCGCCGCCAAATCTCGTCGTATCTCGCTAGGACGGGGAAAAGGAGCTAGAGCATCTGGGGGTCCAACATCTACACGAACCCCGAATGAAGCATGCTAGTGGATTGCCATAACCCACATGTACTGCCACCCCCCCCTTCCTTCTTTTCAACCGAGACGCAGCCATGATTAGCTGCATTACTACGGCGAAACTGGTGTCTCTTATTACTGGTAGTTTCCAACGATACGCTGCGCACGGTTAGTGTAATCCACCGGGACGAAGCCGGAGCACGCAAGAGGGAAAAAAGGGGGGTCACATCGGGGACTCGCAGCAGCCCATCGCTTCGTCGATGTCGAAGGACCGAGGTCATCGATGGAGCGCCATGGTGCTAGCGGGATCGTCTCGGGGCCTGGAAAGGGTAATTTTGCGCGATTCCAGGTACCGATCATTCCTCTGCTCGGCCAGGAGAAGTGTGCCGTGGTCGAGGATCACTTCGGCATTTGCACACCCGCGAAGCTGGTAAATAGAGACGAGCGTCACGCTACTAGTTGTCTGCCGCACATGGGGTTGTGTGTGTGTTCTTGATTCGACCAGCAGCAGCACTGCTTCCCCAGCAGAGCATGAACGAGAGAGGAAGGCTCCTTCCACTTGAAGCAGTTCGCTTGACCGCTTCTCCTGGCGCAATCGCTCCATCTCTGAGGATCTATTTTTTCTTCTCTTTTTCTTACATCTCCACACACACACACATACATACACACACATACACACGTTTGCTTGACGATGGCACATGGGTCATGCCACCAACTAGATTCTGCGCATTGATCAAGGCGAAACTCGGGGAAAGCAAATGGATCGCTTCGGTGAAATACGATCAAACTAAGATGAATTTATCCGTCGCATTTACATTTTCATTTTCTTCTGCTCGTGTGACCGGATTCTGACGGTGGATACATAGGCACACACACAGAGGACACATTGAAACGAGATGCAGAATGGACACCCTGATTCGATTTCGATTTCGCGATTCGGTTCCCTTCTGTCCCGGTTTTGGGGGTCGTATCTACCGTCGGGTATTTGTTCAACTGCTGCGCTCGGTGGTTGAAATTGGCGGTTGATTATTGCTGAGAGCTAAACTTTGTTCCGAGGCCGGTTGGTCCGGCAAGAAAAGGTTTTCTCTCGGACAACAATTTCTCAGGTCGACAGGTAGACACCGTTC